ATGTCCCCTTCACTGGCAGGTGGATTCTTAACAACTGCGCCATCAGGGAAGTCCCTAAGTTTTAAAAAATATTTGTTATGACTTTTTATCTTTGAGCATTACTATGGAAGTATGGATTTTTATATATTCAATATGTATCAGTCAATCACAGTAATATTCAAATTGTCCTAAGTAAGTAATTAAGTGAAAGTTCCTTTAAACTCATTCTTTTTTCCTTTTGAAACGTCCCATTAATCACTGAAAGCTCCCTTGCTTTCTATCATTCCAACATGTACGAGGTTAATTTTTTTTATTCCTTGCCCTAGACATGGAAGCAGTCATTCCTCCAAAGAGACTTGGTAGCTTTTAGTAAGAACTGACTTTAGAGACCACAGTCTGGGTTCTAGGGGTGATAATGGCTACTGAGGTGATTGATGTTGCTTCTAGGTCCTTTCAGTGCACAGAGCTAGGATATTAAGATACCGTCACAAATACACACACACACTGATATTTCCAATTAAAATTTAGCTGTGATTTTTACTGAATTCTTAATTCTATACTTGTATCTCTTTATTACACTGAAAAATTTGGTTTCCCATAACGTAACATAATCATTTATCGGTTTAATCCTACAATATGCATACAATAATTTACAAATGATAATATAGATATTACTCTACTAATAAAACAGTGAATACACTTAAGACTTTGGGTAGTTTATTTTGTCCTTATAATCCCTAGGGATATACCATCAAAATATGGTGTTCTAAAGTCATTTGAAATAATTCTTTTGTTTGTGTAGTCATTTTTACTAATCTGATATATAATTTGGTTAGTTTGTTCATTTTCAATATTAGAATTTGCTTTTATTTTTATATACTTTATTTTAGAATATGTAAAATATTTACGCTGTTTAAAAATCAAACTTATATAATAAGATATACTCAGGAAAGTCTTCTCCTCACCTCCACAATTCCCCCTGCCATCTTTCTCACTTCACCCCATTTATTTCCTTTTTAAAAAATTTGTAAATTTTGAAATATAAAAAACAGAAAAATGCATAGGACAAAAATGAACAGCTCAATAAATTATCACAAAATGAACACCCATGTAACCCAGGTCAAGGAATTGAACATTTCCAGCACCCTAAAAGACTCATTGTGTCCCCCAACCATTTCCTCTGATGTGCTCAAGAAAACATGATTCTATAGTTAAACCAGCTATTTTCTTGTTGTTAGAATGAGAGTGTTTATCTTTTGAGTTTCCTACAACCCAGACAGAAGTGGAACTCCTGTTTGAAGGATAATTTTGCTAGTTATAGAATTCTAGGATGACAGTTATTTTCGTTCAGTATATTTAAGAAGTCATTTCTCTTTCTTCTGGCTTCTATTGTTGCTGTCTTGGACTTAATTATTAGACTAAATGGTGCTCCTTTGAAAATAACCCCTTCCTCCACCACATTCACAGCTGCTTTTAAGAATTTTTCCTTTGTCTTTGTTTTCCTGCAGTCTCGTCATATTTTCTGTCTTAGTTTTAGTTTTTTAATATTTTGCTTAAGATTTTTTGGTAATCTTGAATCAGTGGATCGATATCTTTCAACAGTTTTGGAAAATTTTCAGCCACAATCTTTTAAAATATTGCTTATGTCCTATTCTCTCTCTTCTCTTTCTGGGATTTCAATTAAAATGAATAGTGGACCTCCTCACTGAATCCTCTTGATTTCTTACCCTTTTTTCTGCATTTTCCACCATTTGCCTCTTTGTATTTTTTGGAGGGAAGGGCTAAGTTTCTTGTGACACATCTTCTGGTACACCAGTTCTCTTTCAGCTGTCTCTAATCTGTTATTAAACCTATTCAATTAGTTTAAAATCTTGGTTCTTACATTTTTAAGTTTTAGAATTTCTGTTTGATTCTTTTTCTTTTCAAAGAACCAGTTTTGAGTTTTATTGATTTCTCTTTATTATTTTCCTGTTTTCAATTTTATTGATTTCTCTCTAATTTTAATTGTTTTCTTCTGCTTGGTTCAAACTTAAATTGCTCTTCTTTCTCTAGTTTCCTAAAGTGTGAACTTATTTTATTGATTTTAGATCATTCTTATTTTCTAATGTATGCATTCATTGTATAAATTTCCTTCTAAGCACTGTTTTCACTTCATGCCACAAATTGTGATAAATTATATTTTATTTTTGTTTATTTCAAAATACTTTAAAATTTCTCTTGAAATTTCTTCTTTGGCCCATGGATTGTTTAGAAAGGTGTTGTTTTCCAGATATGTGGAGATTTTCCAGCTATCTTTTTGTTATTGATTTCTAGTTTAATTCCATTGTGGTCTAAGAATGTATTCTGTATGATTTCTAGTCTTTTAAATTTGTTAAGGTGTGTTTTATGGTGGTCTATCTTGATGAATGTTCCATGTGAGCTTGAGAAGAATGTGCACTGTGCTGTTGTTGGGTGGTATATTCTAAATGTCAGTTAGATCAAATAGAATGATTGTTCTGCTCAGGTCATCTGTATCTTTCCTGAACTTCTGCTTGCTTGATTTATCAATTTCTGACAGAGGAGTGTTGAAGTCTCCAATTATACAAGTGAATTTTTCTGTTTTTCCTTTCAGTTCTATCAGTTTTTGCCTCATGTATTTTGACTTGTTTGATTCTTTTAAAAATCTTCCATATTACTTTCTGTGGTTTCTAGATCCTTGTCAAAAGTTACACTTTGGCTTTGATATGCTTGAACATAGTAAAGCACAGTTGTTTTGCTTTGCAATCATTGGATCACTATGGGTCTGTTTCTGTTATCTATTGTGCAGACTATAGTATTTGAAAAATTTTTTGTAGAAATAATTTAAGGTCTTAGAGGATTTTCATTTACTTCTGCAGGTGCCTAAAAGCACTAGCAATCTGATACAACCTTAATACAATTACAAGGACATGCTGCGATCTGAGCAAGGGTAGATTGACTTCCATTTTCCCCTTATTTCTAGAGTTAGCTTCTTGGTCCCAGACCAAAACAGAGAGCAGTTTACTCGAATTCTTCCTTTCACAGGCCTGGACACTGACATCTACTACTCTAGCTGCATAGGCTGTCTAAATCAGCTTTTTGTCTGCTTCTTAAAATGGAAAATTTCCCCAGTCCAAAGCAACTGTGAGCATTGGGTTTACCACCTCTGGATTCTGCTCCTTTCCTGCATCTTGACCTGAGTCAATTACTCCTCGCTCTTTCGCTAGCTCCTTGACGCTTTTTTTTTTTTTTTTTTTTTTTTTTCGGTACGCGGGCCTCTCACTGCTGTGGCCTCTCCCATTGCGGAGCACAGGCTCCGGACGCGCAGGCTCAGCGGCCATGGCTCACGGGCCCAGACGCTCCGCGGCATGTGGGATCTTCCCGGACCGGGGCACGAACCCGTGTCCCCTGCATCAGCAGGCGGACTCTCAACCACTGCGCCACCAGGGAAGCCCTCCTTGACGCTTTTAAGAAGATTTTGGATACTTTTCCATCCAGCTTTTAAGGTATATTAGACACCATTTATTGTCCCATTTTGCATCCTCTTGGGTTGCCTTTTAATTCTAGCCATTACTGCAGCCACCAGCTAGATGCAGGTGTAATCTGATACCACCTGCCTCACCTGCACTGCAGATCTTTTGTTTTTGGCCTGGGTCCTCTCTGCTACCACAGCATTAGATATCCTTGGGACTCTGCTCAGACATTCTCATGCATGAAAAACCTGGATATATGAGGAAATTAACATCTTGTAGTGCAATCCTTTATCCAGTGGGGGATGGGCCCATAGGATAAATACTTTCCTTTTCTCTGTCTCAGAGGACAGTTCTGAGGTGCATTGTACATGATGCCTAAGAGAGTCCCCACAAGAACTTACCTCAGTTGCATACAACTCCTTAATGCATCCTTCAATAGCTTTCCAAGCCCTCTGTTTCACCCTTCCCATTCTCTCACTCCTCATCTTGAAATTTAATCCCAATCTACATGACCCCCATGCAAGCCCTTACTTCAGGCTTTGATTTTGGGAGGAATCAGACTAAGACAAGCTGTCTTCCGCAGGCAGAGATAGTATGAATCATGTAGTGCACCGTTACCAGAAACAGAAGTTGAGAAAAAAAAATTAGATCTAGGAGATATTGCAGGGTACTTAATATATTGATGAAAATAATCAGGCATGCAGGGGAAGAGAAATGATGTAGGAGAGAACTGCTGTTGTGATGTCCTTGAATAGGCTTTTGGCTTTAACCTTTAAGCGTACATCCAGGGACTTCCCTGGTGGCACAGTGGTTAAGAATCCACCTGCCAATTCAGGGGACACGGGTTTGAGCCGTGGTCCAGGAAGATCCCACATGTCGCAGAGCCACTAAGCCCATGCGCCACAACTACTGAGCCCACATGCCACAACTACAGAAGCCTGCATGCCTAGAGCCCATGCTCCACAACAAGAGAAGCCACGGCAATGAGAAGCCTGCACACCACAATGAAGAGTAGCCCCCGCTCGCCACAACTAGAGAAAGCCCACACACAGCAACGAAGTCTCAATGCAGCCAAAAAAAAAAAAAAAAAGACTACATCCGTTTTCCTTCCCCAACCAACGCTCCAGATGTCCCTGCTCCATGTGCAGCATCATTATTCACTAAGGCAAAACATCTCTAACAAAAACAAAAATCACCTGTATTAGTTCCCTAGGGCTGCTGTAACAAAGTACCACAAACTGGGGAACTTAAACAATAGAAATGTATTGTCTCACAGTTCTGGAGGCTAGAAGTCTAAAATCAATGTGTTTTAAGGGTTTGTTCCTTCTTGGGCTAGAAGGAGCTGTTCCAGGCCTCTCTCTTTGGCTTGTTGGTGGCCATCTTCTCCCTGTATCTCTTCTTGTCATCTCCCCTCTATGCACGTCTGTCTCCAAATTTCCCCTTTTTTAAGGATACTAGTCATACTGGATTAGGGCCCACCCGAATGACCTCATCTTAAATTGACTAATTATATCTGTTAACACTCCTATTTCCAAATAAGGTCATGTTCTGAGGTACAGGAGATTAGGACTTCAACTTATGAATTTTGGGGGGGACAGGATTCAACCCCTAACACTTGCCAAGGCCTATTAATTCATCCTTCAAGATATCCTTCTTATATGTCCTCTTTCACTCAAGTTCAGGTCCTCGTGTGGCACACTGCACTATTTCAACAGTCTTTCTAGAATGTTGCCACTTTTCTCCTACTCCCTAACCCATCCTTCTACAGAAATGTGACATTGTTCTTCCTAAGCTCAGCTTTCATTGTGTCACTCCCTTGCTCAACAGACCTTCAATGGCTTCCCATTTTCTATCAAATAATACGATCCAAATCATATAATCTGCCCTTCTACGATAAGAGCTAAACTTACCTTCCTTTTAAAAATGCTCATCTTCTTCTCTCCATTTTCTGTCTTGGAAAGAAAGAGGGAATGAATGAGGGGGAAATGTGGGTGAGTAGCAGGGGTTGCCCAATTTAATGAGAACTAGGTACAAACGAATATGACTGGTCTAGTGTTGGGTTTAGGTCCATTCCTGAACACAACGAATAGAGGGGGAGAGGGCAAAAACAGCAGGATGACCAAGAATCGGGGCCATCAAGAACTAGTCACTTAATTTCTCTGGGTTGCTTAAATGGATGAGATGTGTGGCCAAGTCCCAGTTCTTCAGAGAAACTAAATTTTGATATCTGCCCACGTGCTTACACCTCTGATGTATGAGAGTATGAGTAGAGTACCGTGGGAAGTAGAAAGCTTTGCAAATAGGACATTCTGGTATTTGGCTGAGCTGAGCATGAGTGATCAGATTACTCCCTCCCTTGTAAGATTTTACGCTACCAGGAGCAAACTGGCAAGAGTCAGCAAAACATTTAATGTGTGTACACTTTGATTACAGCACTTCTATGTTGATTCTTGAGCGCACAAAGAGTGAGAGAGCCCTGGCAGGGGCTGTAATAGTGGAGGTGGGAGACCCTCATAAAACAGCAGGGTCCAGGCCTGTCTGACATGGAAGGATGGGCAACTAGACCACACAGCATAGCTGGATGTGTGTAAAGAAGGCTGCCATTCCAGCTGTGGTCCCATCCTCGCTTTCCTCACTTCAGGAATGGTCACTGGAAAGAAAACAAGACAGAAGCAGCCTCCGGCAGCAGTGAGGGGCTGTGCTCGCCTCACTGCAACCCTTGTTCTGGTCCCACCTCTCTCACTTTGAAGGCTGTGGCCAGGTCCAAACCCGATCCATCCTGCCTCAGGGCAAGTCACAGAGAGTTTGCATCAAAGTCACTTTAATGATCCAGATTTCGGTCATCCTGGAACTTCCCCTGCAGAGGGCAATGGGGAGGGCACTGGGGCAAAGCAGCTTTGCATTAGGTCTCAATCAGCGACAAGGTTGTGGCCCACAGTGGGGGGTGACTCAAAGAAGCCCTAAAACCAGAAATAAAGGATTGGAACCGGTATGTGGAGAGGTGGCCCTTCCCTCACCTACTCTCCCGCAAATGCTTCAATAACACCCTGATTTGAGTCACCTCACAGTGACTCAACCCATCAACTGAGTGCCTGTCCCCTTTGCTCCCACACAGAATTCATAGACTTCTCATCCGCTGATTTTCCCTTGGGCTCAGGCTGGAGAAGAACGGCAACACCTTGTTTGCTTTCATGAAGGCACGGCAGCAACCGGTCTCTCACAGGTGGGTCTGTCACTTAGCTCTGAGTGTGTGGACCCAGTGACCAACCTAAGCTTAGGAAGCTCAGCTACCATCTTATGGGAGTAGGAACTGGTTTCCTAGGAGAGCGTGAGAGGCTAGAAGCCCCCAGAGGTGCAGGCTGCCCCTGGATGGAGCACATGGTTAGCTGGAGGTGCCGGCTCCGCTGCCACCACCCCAGTCCAAGCCACTTCAGTCTCCCCTGGACCAGGATGATCGGCTCTTTACAGGACTCTCTGTTTTCACTCTCGCTTTTCTCACAATCCATCCCTGATACCGTTAGAGTGAGCTTTTAAAATCATATCACATTATTACATCCCCATCCTTAAAATTTCCTAGTTAACTTGCCACTACCCTTGGAATAAAATCCAAACTTTCACCATGACCTGTGAGCCCCTGTGTGGTCGACCCCGAGCCTACATCTCCAACCTAATCTTCTGCCACTGACTTTCCCTCAGTCTTGCTATGGTATCCTTCTGTCAGGGCATTTGTCATTGCGGTGCTCTCTTCCTGGGAGGCCCTTCCTTCATATCTTCCACTGGCTGCCACCTTCTTGTAATTTAGGTCTTAGTTCAAAAAAGGACTTTTGTCAATATGGAGGAGTCTGATGTTTGGGGCAGCACAACCCACACTGCAGTCCCTGAGAGGAAGGGCAGGGACTGTGTAGGGGAAAGGGCTGGGAATCAGGAGACCTGGGTCCAGTCTTAGCTCTGCCATGAACTTGCTATGCAGCCTTGAGTAAGTTGCTTGACCAGCCTGGGCCCCAATGTCTCATCTATAGATAGATGGCAGTGCTAAATGGGTGTTTTCAATCTGGATTCCAAAGAGTTCAAGCATCCTAGGTAGATAACTCCGAGCCTTGCCTGGTTGACTTACCCAGGCCACAGAGTAGAGCAAGGTGGGGAAGAGGTGAATGTGAGGGCCTCTGGGCTACGTCTCCCATTCATCCAAAGGAGCTTTGCTATCACTTGCTATATACAAGGGAGTACATGGAGAAAAGGAGAACTTTTTACTTAACATTGAAAACTCTGCAGTTTTCTATGCCTTTGGAAATTCAGTGCCTGTGAATGATCCTATAGATCATTTCACCCGTAGAGACTCCCAGCACCTGCATCACACCCCCCAACCTTTCATATGGATGCCCACAAGTAGTCTGAGAGAGACAGGAAAATGCACCTTCTGTGTTCACACACCAATACACATTTCCCTCCTTCACACCTGCCTCCCTCATTTAAACATGTCCTTGGTGATTCCAACTTCCCTAGAAAAAGTGAGCCCCTCACCTTGACAGGGTTGGTCACCTCTCGTTTCAGGGCCTTCGAAACCACTTTGGAGGTAAAGCACTGATCCCTGTTCACCTTGACCACTGGGGCCTGTGAGGAGGGAAGCCAGGAGTCAAGAAGGAGGCAGAAAAGGGTGACAGGGCCCCAGAGGGAAAGAGATGGGACCTAAAGTCAGGGCTTTAAAAGTCTTGAGAAGACACATGAGTCTCACCTTGGGGAATAGGAGTCGAAGTTTCTCCCCTTGCTTGCTCCTACAAGAGATGGGGATGAGAAATGGGACCTAGGCTTGCGAGCACCTCCCTCGTCTCCCTTTGCAGGTGTCACTAGTGGTTCATGGAACTGTTTCCTGCAGATCCCAGACAGGACTTCTGAGTCATTCTCAGAGTGCTCCTGGCGGCTCTTACCTGCAGTTTTAATGCCCGTTCCCTCCCTGTTCTCTCTGTCCACCAGACATCATGGACTGACCATAGGCTTCACACACCTCACCCCAGTGGTTTTGGTGGGAAAGGCTTCTTGCCGCATCCTCACACATGGATCCTGGGGGTGGGGTTTGCCAATGTGCCCCATCTTCTGTGTCATCACATCCTGGGCCATGTCATCCTTCCAGAACAAACCTGCAGGTTGAAAGGAGGTGGTGAATTAATACCTGGGACGCTCTGACTGGCCCACTCCAGAGACCAGAGTGAGGTCAGCACTCCCCTTCTCCCTCAAGCGGCCAAAGGATCACAATTTGTGGAGAGAATGAAATGAGATGGCATATAAAATTTGCTTAGCACAATGCCTGGCATATAATAAACATTCAGTTAGGATTAGGACTATACTCTTTTTGCTGACTCATTTGATGCTATTGTGAAAATTAAATGAGATTAGGGATGTACAGAGTGCTGAGAAAACTCTAAGGCAGTGATTCCCAAACTTTAGAGTACATCAGAATCTCCTGCAAGGCTTGTTAAAACACAGATGGCTGTTCCTCCCTCCTAGAGCTTCTGATTCAGGAGGTCTGGGGTGAAGGTCATGAATTAGCCTTTCCAGCAAGTCTCCTGGTGATGCTGATGCTACTGGTCTGGGGATGCACTTTGAGAACCACTACTTTAAGGCATTTTACACATATTAGACATCAGTAGTGGTAGTAGTAACATGAACTCAAGCCAGATTTCCTATCTGATTCTTCTCCCATTCATGAAACTCTGCTCTAAGGAAGGGTCAGCCATCTGCCTTCAAGGGAGTCCCCACTCCCTTTCCTTCCTCTCTTCTATTTGTCATACAATTTGCTCTGCTCCCTACTCAGAGGCTTAGGGGTGTGTGTGTGTGTGTGTGTGTGTATTCTCCTGGATGAGGACTTAAGGATTCCTGGCTCTGGAAAAACTCAGATAGTGCCTGGAGTTGGGGCTAGTCCCAAGGAGTTAGATGCTGACCTCTTCCAGGGGCTTCTTCTAGAAGCCTCTGCTGGGCCCTTCCAGGGTGTTCAAGGGCTAACAGCCTGCCCTTCTACCTCCATCCCCATTTTGGTCTCTCCCAACTCTCCATGAGGTAAGCATGACAGGAAAGTGTCAAGTAGAGACATTTGGGGCTGAAAGCCTGTTCTCAGATCAAAAAGCCCCTCACTATACCCCTGTATCTGACCAAGCCTCAGCCTCTCTTCTCCAGCTCTTACTCACCTTGGGGCATAATCTGCTGGAGTACAACTTGCAACTGCTGGAAGACTGGGGTGGTAAATCCTTGGAGGGTCCAGAGGTGCCCCACTCCCACTTGGCCCTGACCATCTAAGGACAAAATAGTGGTGTGAGAAAGGAGCTTGACCAGAAGCCTTCCAAATCCAAGCTGAAGGAAAGCAGCTTCCTTCCACTATCACCCCTGGGTTCAGTGGTCTCTGTCCCCCTCACCAGACCCCCACCTCCTTTCAAGTCCTCCTTTTCATTTTTCCTTCCCCCGTCACCATCTGCCCTGTTCCTCAGCCCCTGCACCTCATTCACCTTTGGTACCAACTTCCAGGTAAGAACCAAGCTCCACAGGCAGCCTGTGGAGGGTGAGTTAAAAAGAGACTCAGAAAGCTACACACATAGAATGGATAATCAGGTGAACAGGTAGGGCGTGGAGAGCAGGTGAACTGCATTCAGGGAAGGCTTTGAAGCCTGGAGGGGATTGGAGAGGACGCCTGGAATCCTTCGAGGAAGGAAATATTGGTATGTATAGGGTTTGAGTGTCTGGATCCTTGTCCTGAAAGCCACAGTTTGCCCGACTGTGCAAAAGGGAAGGACGGGGATGGAGATAATTCCTAATGCTATACACACTTGCCTCATTCCAGGTAAATGGGGTAGGGTTGGAGTCTGGGATTTTTGTTTGTTTCTTTGTTTGTTTTCCTATAGTGGAACTACCATGAGTCATCATGAAAAGGGAATTCTCTTCCCCAGTCAAATGGACCCTAATATCATTTCCCTGGCTTTAGGAAGGAGCAGAACCTAATATTGAGAAGGAAAATAGCTTCTGGAAGGAGAGAGCTTCTCTGAGGCAGCGCTCCCAGAACTGATAGAAAAGTGGTGACCCAGACACCCTCAGTCAGACCCACAGGGCACCTGGCGCTGTCCGTGGTGCTGAGCGGTGGCCAAAGCTTGGCATGGAGGCGGCTCTGGGCAGTAAAGAGAGCGAGTCATCCCCACAAGTCTTGCCGGTCCTCTCCCACCCCACGCGTCCCGCCCCCCGCCCCCAGGTCACCTCCTACAGTTTTTCGCGAGTCCTCTGCATTGGCCTCTAAACCCAAGAATCGGGCAAGGAGAGTTGGCATCAGGCTAGGAGTCTGCGCCGTCTGCCCCAAGCGCAGGGCGCTGGAATCCTCGAGTCTGCGCAGTCGGTCTCTGGCTGCTCACACGTGTCAGCGATGGTCTACCCGGTTGGCGCAGAGTGAAGGGGGAGGAAGAGGATGGATCCTTTCCCCCTCCATCCTTTTTTACCCCATCCTAGCCTTCCCGTTCTTACCGGAAATTGGATCGCAAACGCCAGGCTCTAGGGGCTTATAAAGAAGCCTTGGGTCATCCCTCGGCCCAGCCTTCTCTCCGGAGCCCGATACCCGCGGCCCCTGCTCCTACTGTGCAGAGATCCTGGTCCCCTGACTATCCCTGAGCCATGGGCATCTCTTCCCTGGCCCCTCAGCGCGTCTTGGTTCTCTTGCGGCTGCCCAGGCCGGTTCTACTTCCCGCTGGCCCTGTGTGTTTCAGTCCTTCTCCCGAATCCCCAATCTTCCCGAGTCCGCTTCTCTTAAGTCCGTACCCCATACACCGAGCCCCACGCCAGGCCTGCGCCTCTTTCTGCGCAGTTTTCTCTTCTCACCCCTCAAACAGATTCCTTTCCTCCTAAGTTCCTAACCTTGAGGCCCCCGGACCCACTTCTCTCAGAATCGCTCTCTGGCCCTGCCCGCACCCCCCAGGTGTCCTCCTGACCGTGATCACTAACGTCGCGGCCGCTCCCTGGGCGGCTCTTCAGCAGCAGGAAGCAGAGGAGCCGCCAGAGCCCCCGGAAGCCCCCAGGCCCCAGCGGGCGCCGCATCCTCCCGGGCTTGGTGCGCTGGCTCCCCACCAAATCGCAGATGAGGTAGAGACAGCTGCTGGAGGGACTGAGCGGGGCTGTCGCTTCCCACCCGCTGGCGAGACTGGATCTGCACAAAGCTCCCTTGGCAGCGGGACCAACGGCTGGCGGGCCCTGTCCCCTGCGGACGCCTACCCAACCCTTACTTCCCTACCTCCCCACAGGCCACCCCACCTTACTCCCAGGAGCCCACTCCTTTTTTACATAAACCAGGTCCCGAGGACTACCGCCTCTACTCCCAATCCCAAGGCTGGAAAAACGGATTGCATGTAAAATGTGGGTGCGAATTGTACCTGCCTCATAGGTTTGTTGCGAGGATTAAATATGAACAGCGACTGGATAGTCGGCACTCAATGAATCTAGTCTATTTTTATTATCCTGCTGCTTACTTCCCCCTTACCCGCCTTAAAACCTTCAGCAGTCACGGGTTTGACCTGCTGAGTATATGCACATCCATGACTCCTCCACATCCACTGCCATCGCCCAGGTTCAAACCATTGTATTCTTTTTTTTTTTTTTTGCGGTACGTGGGCCTCTCACTGTTGTGGCCTCTCCCGTTGCGGAGCACAGCCTCCGGACGCGCAGGCTCAGGGGCCATGGCTCACGGGTCCAGCCGCTCTGCGGCATGTGGGATCCTCCCGGACCGTGTCCTCCCGTGTCCCCTGCATTGGCAGGCGGACTCTCAACCACTGCGCCACCAGGGAAGCCCTACCAAGGCCTTTTAATTTTGGGAGTCCTGAACCCCAAACTTGGTGTCCCAAACACTGTGGAAGCTGCAAAAAAAAATCCCTGTTCAGATATTTGATTTTCCACTAGGTTCCTTAAAATCTTGCCCTGCACTTGTGCCATTTAGAAGGTATCTAAGGATGTGAGGGGGATTTGCATGTGGATTTTGGGTTCCCCTCTCTGTAGCTCACTCACTTCCCAGAGTTCTTGCTCAATTTCTACCTGCTCTGGCATTCCTGTACTCCAGCCACTACTTCCTTGGCCATTCAGACTTCCACTCTCTGCCTTTCGTGCCTATTTCCCCTTGTGCTACAGGAAACCGTGAAGTATCATTAGCGGAAAAGCCTGTTAAATGTGGAACTCATTGGTTGCGGGGGGAGGTTTTCCCTTTTTTCAAGGATTATATTCCCTCTAGTTTTTCTTGCTTGGCTGGTCTCCATGTTTTCATACAATCACTTTTATATTTTGTCTAGAGTATATACGTTAAATGTTAATGGGAGGGTCTGACACAAGCTATTTTATCATGCCAGGAACTGGTTATCAATGATTTGTGTTGTACATAATATTCAAAAATTGTTTACAGAAATAATTTAGGCCTAGGAGCAAATGAGTGTGAGCCTGCTTTGAGAAGTACAATGCTACAAGAAAAAGGGACATATTGGTCTTTGGGTGGCTTGAACAGAGGTGGGTGTGCTTCTTTCTCCCTTTTAAGATTTCAAACTACCAGAGAAATAGCTATCAAAATGATCAATTATATGTGCATCGATACTGCACTTCTTTTCCCTATTCATTGGAGGGGACCCTAATGTTGAGAGTAATATCCTCAGAAGACCAAGCAGTTTATCAGGCCTATCGGACTTGGAGTTCAAGGGGAGGAATTTCCTTTCCCAAGGGAAAAAAGACCACCATAAAGTGTGGCAGGTGGTGGGGGGAGGGGAAGTGGATGAGGAAAAATGACACTTCAGCTGTGGTCCTACCCTGCCCTGCATTCATGTTATGAATGATGTCTGGAAAGAGAAAGGGATCAGAAACCAGGCTTCCAGCTGCATTACAGACCCACCCCAAATGTCCTCTCTGTTCTGATCCTATATATTTTACTTCAGAGGCTCTGCCTGGAACCCACCTGTCCTACCACCGGACAAGCCCACAGAAAGGGTTTTGACAAAAACCCGCTTAATAAATTCAGAAGCAGGTTGTCCTAGAACTGCTCTTGTAGATGGCATTGCAGGGGGTGGAGGATAGGAATGTTTCAACCAGCTGCAAATTTTGCTCAGAGAAGAAAACAGTTCAAAGAAACCCTAAAATGGTAGGAAACAAGGGATTTTGAATTTGTGTATATATGTGCTAGATTATTCTCCCTCTAAAATGTAAACTCCCCCTCCCCCAATAAATAACAGGCTCTAATAACAGCCTTGATTTGGGCAAGTCCTGAGGCACAGTGACTTAGCAACTGCCCCACAGCTGGCCTCACCTTGGCTCCTGTGTTTGATCTTCTCTCCAGCTCCTGATTTTCCCTTAGATTTAGAGCCAGTCAAGGACCTTAACCTGGAGAAGAATGGCAGATTCTTGTCTGCAGACTTTATACCATGGTAACCAGTTCTTATCGTGGGGCTCAGTCACTCAGTGCTCCTGAGTGTCACCCTAGCAACTGATCTGGGCAAAGGAAGCACAGTTGCCATGGTGAGAGGAGTCAGAAGCTGTTCCCTCGGTGAGTATGCAGGTCTGGATTCTCCTTGAGGCTCAAGCTCCTCTGGGTAGAGTTCATGGCCAGCTGGAGGTGCTCAGCCTTCTGCAGTTGCCCAGCCGAAGCCACCACAGTGTCCCTTGAACCAAAACAATACTTCCTAACAGATCTCTCTGTTCCACTCTTGCCCTCTATCAGTACATTCTCTGACAGTGCTAAGGTGGTCTTTTAAATTATCATTCTATTCATTTCTTTAAAATCCCTGGTGATTTTCTTCTGCCCTTTGTGTAAGAACTAGTACTCTATACTATGACCTGCAAAGTCCCATATGGTCAGTTCTGGGCCTACTTCTCCAACCGCATTTCCTACCACTAGCTGTTCTGTTTATTTTTCTTATGTGCTATTTAAAACTACAAAATACAATAGCCAAGTTAAAAACTCACTGGATAGGCTCACTAACAGAATAAGAATGACAGAGGAAAGTGTTAGTTAAGTTGAAGATGGATCAATATAAATGATCCAATCAGCACAACAGAGAGATAACATTGGGGAAGAAAATTAGCAGAGCCTCAGGGACCTGTGGGACAATACCCAAAGTTCAACATTCATGTCATTGGAGTCCCTGAAGGAGAGGAGAAAAAGGGTAGTACATAAAAACTTATTTGAAGAAATCATGGCTGAAAACTTCCCACATTTGTCAAAAGCCATAAACCTACAGATTCAACAAGTTCAGTGAACTCCAAATGGGATAAACCTGAAGAAATCCATGTCCTGATACATCATAATCAAACTTGTAAAAACTAAAAGCAAAGAAAAAAATTGTGAAAACAGTCTGAAAGAAAAACAGCACATCACTTAAAGGAGACAATAATCCAAATGACTGTGTATAGTTCATTATAAATGATGGGAGCCAGAAGTGTAATAACATTGTTTAAGTGGTGAAGAAAGGAACTGTCAACCCAGGATTCTATATCCAGTAAAATGCACTTCAGGAGTGAAAGTGAAATAAAGAGGAAGAAAAACTAATTAATTGTCAGCAGACCTGCTCTTCAAGAATTGCTAAAGGAAGTTCTTTGGATAGAAGGGAAATTATATCTGAAGGAAACCTGAAACATAAAGAATAAGGGAGAGCAATAGAAATGGGAAATATCTGGGTAAATATTACAGACTATTCTTTCCCTCTTGAATCATTTAAAATATGTATGATGGGGCTTCCCTGGTGGCGCAGTGGTTGAGAGTCCGCCTGCCAATGCAGGGAACACGGGTTCATGCCCCGGTCCGGGAAGATCCCACATGCCGCGGAGCGGCTGGGCCCGTGAGCCATGGCCGCTGAGCCTGCGCGTCTGGAGCCTGTGCTCCGCAACGGGAGAGGCCACAACAGTGAGAGGCCCGCGTACTGCAAAATAAATAAATAAAATAAAATATGTATGATGGTTGAAAGCAAAAATTATAACATTGTCTGATAGAGGTTTCAATGTATGTAGGTGTAATTGATTCTAATTGACCACTACAACAGAAATGGGGGAGAGTAATGGGACCTGTATGCTGGTGAGACTTCTACATTCCACTTGAGATGGTAAAACAGTGATTATAAGTAGACTGTGAAAAGTTAAGCATGTATACTCTGATCCTTAGAGCAACCACTTAAAAAACCATAGAAAGATAGTAAAAAACACAGTTGATACACTAAACTAGAATACTAAAAACTGTTTCAATAATCCAAAATAAGAAAGAAAAGGGGAAGCACATAATTATGGAGGTTGAGAAGTCCCGTGATCCGCCATCTGCAAGTAGAGAACCAGGCAAGCTGGTGGTATAATTCAGTCTGGGTCCGAAGCCCCAAGAACCAGAAGCACTGATATCCAACCAAACTCAGAAGATGGATATCTCAGCTCAAGCAGAGATAGCAAATTTTTAATGTCTTTTTTTTTTTTGCTGCACCACGTGAGGCATGCGGAACTTCACCAACCAGGGATCGAACCTGCATCCCCTGCAGTGGAAGCACAGAGTCTTAACCACTGGACCACCAGGGAAGTCCACAGAGACAGTGAATTTGTCCTTCGTCCACCTTTTTATTCTGTTCAGGCCCTCAATGGATTGGATGATGTCTACCTGCGTTGGTGATCTTCTTTACTCAATCTACTGATTTCAAAGGCTAACCTTTTCCAGAGACACCTTCACAGGCACACTCAAGAATAACATTTTCCTAGCTATCTGGGCATCCCTTAGTGCAGTCAAATTAACACAGAAAATTAACCATCACAGTGAGCAACTGGGAGTGAATCCTGCTGGGGACCCCTGAGGGTCTGTGTAGAACTGAGATTGACCCCCACCAAGGGAAGGATATGCTGAAACTTTTACCCACTAAACTAAGTCCTTAATTGGTTGAGGGCAGCCTCTGAGGGTGTTAAATCCCAGATATTTCAAGGCTGTCTTGAGCATAGGTAGGCAAGTTCCCTGGACCCTGCAGAAAATCCACTGGATGAGAAGAGTCCCATGGCTTGAGGTGGGA